CAGGCGGGCCGAGCGACCGCAAACCACACGCCGCCGAGGGCTGGGACTGCCAGCAGGGAGCGGGGCGCAGCTCGCTCAGCTGGGATTGGCCACAGGGCCATTGATGCACTCCTAGTGCGGGTTCCAGTCCAATTTTGTCATCCATCGTCCCTCCAACACAACCAATATGTATTTGAAAACGATCAGAACAATGTGAGTCGGCCGCCCACCTGGCGTCAATCAGGACGAGCGCCGCGTCGCTGCGCCGCAGCACGCCCAGCGTGAGCGCCCCCGCGCGCGCCTGCAGGCTCTGGGCCGGCAGCTCCGGCTCGAGGCCTGAGGTGTCAACCACCTGGGGCGCGTGACGGCGGTGAGTCAGTGGTGAGTCAATGGAGTGGTCCGTCAGTACAAGGTTCGGTCAAAGGGGGCGATGGCGGGTCGAATGGGGTGGCGTTTGACCGTTCGAAACGTGGGACTGGTGGGTGTGAGGACTCGGTGGTGGTGGTTCGAGGGCGTAAGGGCGACTTGGGTGCAGGTTTAGGTGCGGCGAGCCCGGCCCAGCTGACGGCATTACACTCAGCAGCGGGCCCGGGGAGGGCGGGTGCATTTGGGGGCGCGGGCCTCCGCTTTCCCGCACCGCCAGCTGTGCCCTGGCCTCAAGGTCCGCGCCGCAGCCGCCGCCGGCGGGCGCCTTGCGCTGCGCCCTGCTCGGGCCGTGGCTGAAAACGCTGCACGACCTGCTCGCGCAGCCAGGCGCACAGGGCCCGCTGCCCGCCACCCCTGGGTGCTCTTTATCAGCGCCAGCCGCGCCCTCGCTCAATGCTGACTCAGCGGCCCCCCGCCTCACCCTGAACCGCAGGTCCCCCAGCTGCCCCACAGCTTCCTTGTAGTCACGGGTGACATGGCTGCCGGGTGTGTCGTACACCTGCGGGTGTTGCGAGATGCGATAGCCAAACCATCATTGGGTTCGATGGCTGACTGAGGATTGTCGATATGCGATGGGATGGGAGTTGTGATTGGCCCCGGGCAAAGCACCGACATACACCAGCAGAGCAGCCGGCGTACGGCCGTTGTGGGAGCCGGCACATTCGAACGCTGCCCGCGCCACACTCTCTCGAATCTACTCAAGTTTGTTTGTGCAGCCGACCGGCTTTTGCACTGAGCGGAAGGTGTCGAACGCACCAGAGCCTCCTTCTTGCGCACGAGGCGGTTGAACAGCGCCGACTTGCCCACGTTGGGACGGCCCACGATCGCCACCTGGGGTGGGGTCAACGTGGAGGCGAGTTGCTAGTGTGTTCTGCCCAGCTGCCTCGACGGGCCGTTCGGCCCCAGCTTTGATTTAGTATGGGCGTAGTGACGTGACACACAATTGGTGCCATGTACTTGACACAAGCGGTGCGGCAGTTGCCACCTGCCGGGAGCGATTGAGATGAAGAGGCAGCAGCGGCGGCGGCGGCGCACCATCGGCAACAGAGCATCCTCATCTGATGGGGGTCCCTTGCTGGCCTTGGGAAGGCGCGTTCGCTTTGAATAGCCTCGCGCCAGCTGCAGCAGCGCCGGCAGCACCGCGTGTCTGGTCCCCATTATCCTTCAAATTTGCGGGCTCAGATCATTCGCATGTTGATTACACGTAACATATCATCTTTAGAACAACATAATTTCGTTGCGCACAGTAGTGACGCGCTGAACCACCACAGCTGTGACATGATATTGTCACCCGGTGACGCGCATCCCCTCTCAAACTCCCTGCTCCGAAGCGGTCTGATGATGTGTGCTACAGCACTGTCAATCAGCATCGCGTACATATGCTTGGGCTCTGTACAGGTCTCTACCCGAATTTGGCGACCTTCTGCATCAGTCCTGATGGCAAATGCGCCTGTGGGTGTCATGATGTCAGCAGGGCGGCGCCAGCGCCGATGCAAGTCCGCAAACATTGCATCCGCGTCATGCTTTATAGACTGGCACACGCTGTACGTCCGTCTAGAGATGCTGCTAAACGTCCTCGATGCTGATACAGCAGCCACTGGCAAATACTCCTGGGTGACAAGCAAGGGCTGCCAGTTTTGTCACATTGGTGATTACTGCTCACTGTGCTTACTATGGCATACTGGTATGAAGGAGGTCTGCTTCGATTACATGCACGTCAGTGGTGCACTGCGCCACCACGCACGCGACACCAGCCCGGGTACACAGGCACTGAAAAGCAGTCAGCACGTTGCACTCATAAAATCCGCCTCTCTGCGCTGCGCTCGCTTGCTGCAGCGGCCAGAGGCTGCCTGCTAGGGTGCAAAAACAGAAATCCGCAAAAGGAATGAAAGACTTTCCTGGGGAGGGGCCGCAAATGGGCCGTTGCCAAGGCGAAAATGCTGCAATCCTGGAATCCCACGTGCAGGTTTAGTAACAAAACAAAACAACACTTGGATCAAAACCCCCAGACTGGTTGATCCAATAGCAAAACACTCCTGCCTCCGCTTACACTCTTCTCACACACAGCCATCTGAGGTGACAAAACGACTCTGGTGACAGATGCCCCCCGGGTGACGCCCGTCAGCCGGGTGCTGTCTCCTTGCTCCGGCGCTCGCCTGCGACCCGGGCGACACCACCGCCCCTCGCCTCCCACTCAAGTTATGTCACCACCCCGACATATGACGTCATCGCCTGCGTCACTGGTAACCGCGGTACTGCACCCGCAGCTCCACCCGCCCCGGGTTCTTGCCCGCGCCGCGCCCTGTGAGGTCGTACCACCCCTCCACCAGGCCGCGGGTGCCGCCCTTCACCGTCGACACCACCTCCTTGATCGGCAGCTCCACGCGGCCCAGATCATCGTCCGGCTTCAGGTAATCGCGATCGCGCACCTGTCGGTGCGGGAGTTTGAAAATCCAGGGGTGAGGAGAGGATTGGGGACGAGCCTGGCAATTAAAGGCCTAGAGGGATGTTTTGGTTGTCTCCTCGCGCCTCAGCCCTCCAGATTGTGTTCCCATCAGGTCCTACCTTCCCACGCTTGCCGATCACCCCTTGTGATCAGGGGAGGAATCACCCAACACCTCCCCACCCCTCCAAAAGCGATGAGCAGCCACCCACCCGAATTACTAAGGTGTCGTGGAGCTGCGCCGCGCAGGAGGCGACCGCGGCGGCAGAGGTGCAAAGTGAGGGCACAGGGAGAGGGGTGACAAGATATATGGGACTCTGGGTGCACAATTCCTTGGCAGAAGGGGGAGTCAGTAGTTGCTGTGTGTGCCAGCAGCAGCGCGGTGACGCCACGCCTGTGGTCGCAAACGAGGCACCCAACCGCCTGCCGCCCCGACGGCGGCGCCGCGAGGGCGCGCTGGATCCGCCCGCACGGCAGCCGCAAGTCGCGCAGCCGCCCCTGCACAAACTGGGAACTCTGTGGCAACCGCAGCTTGCCTCTCACGACAGGCAGGCAAGATGGGGCCAGCGTTGCACAAATCGTTGGGCAACTCGAGCATACGTTGAGCAAGATATGAGCAGAGTAAAACCAAGATACAAGCAAGATATGAAAAGATATGAGATTGATGTGAGAGGGCTCCCAGTGGCCCCACCTGTGTGTTGAAGAACTCAAAGGTGGCGCCCCACTGGGGGCTCCTCGTCTTAGCCACTACTGCGGTGTGCTGGCGCTGCCCGGCCACTGTCACGGTGCAGTACGCCTGGGGTCGGTGGCCGGGGGGCGGGTGATGCGGGTGACGCGGGTGACACAGAGGACGTGGGTGACACAGAGGACGCGGGTGACACGCGTAATGCAGGTGAC